GCAGGGGGTTGAGGTTCTTGTGTGTGGCAGCCATGATGGGAATCCTGTCGGGGTAACAGCCTCCTGGCTAGAGCAGGTGCTGCTGTCACCCTGGTGTAGCTGTCCCGTGTGGGAAGGGCAATGAACTGTGCTGGCACGAGCCACCTGCCTTCGCCCAGGGGCTGTGTTTAGCCTGGGGTTATCCCAGGGTAACTGTGTCAGTTAGAGTCCCCTGTAACTGAATTAGCTAGGCTGGCACCCAGTTTGTGTGCGGAACTGCTGATTAGGAATCTGGGTGAGCTAAACAGCAACAAGTCACTCCAAAACTGAAATGAGCAGCCCCTGGGTATTGGCACTGGTTTCATTTAATCCAGCTGCTGCCACTTGCTGTGTCGGCAAGGCCTGAGAAACTAAGGCCTGGTTGATGCTAAAAGGTTAGGTCCACAGAGCCACGTCGGTCAGGTGTCTGAAACAGCCACACCCCTGAGTGCCTTAGCCATGCTCTGTGTGGATGCAGTTCAGTCGATGGAAGCATTCTTCCATCGACCTGGTTGCTGTTGCTTGGGGAGGTGGAGAAACCCCTTCCGTTGTTGTAGTCTGCATCTATGCTACAAAGTTACAGCCAGCAGCTTACCTACAGCACCACAGTTATGCCACTGTACTGCCTGTAGTGTAGACATAGCCTAAGAAACTTCGTTTCCATGTGTGGTTGCTAGACTGTACAGCCAAGCATACCAGTCCTTCCCCCGCACTCCCGTATCTGCCTGCCCCTCACCCACCCCAAGGCAAGTACCCCAAAGTCAAGAATTGCAAAGTTACGTTTCTCGTAGCACCTAGCTCAGTGACTCTGTGATATCTATATTAAGGCCTAGATGAAGGATTAGCAGACACCTTGCCAGTGTGCCATGTGCAAGAGTCATGCTGCTGTGGGAACCTTCAGTCTCACTTGCTTTGTTTTTGTTCTCTTGGGCACTAAGCTTGTTTCCTGTGAACGGCCTGCACTGGGTTGCACCTTAGAAGTTCTTCAGGGACTGGGGATCAGGGAAAGGAATCCTTCCCTGCAAACTACTGGAGACTGAACCAGTATTTGCCAGAGGCAGAGAATAGGTGGAATGGAGGGGCACCAGTGCCCAAGGCCCACATGATGGCAGGGAAGTGATTACATGAGATATACCCAGCTGATCCCAGAAAGTGACCTGCACCCATACGCTGCACCCACCCCGCCGCCCCCAAGGCCACTGCCAAATCTGACCTGGGCAAAAATTCCTTCCCAGCCCTACCTATGGCGATCAGTTAGACCTTGAGCATGGGAGCAAGAACCAGCCAGCCACATGCTCGAGAGAGAATGCTCAGGGCCACCCCAGAGCCCTGGCCCATCCTGTCCAGTGTCCCATCTCCAGCCATGGCCATCCCTGGTGCTGCAGAGGAAGGAGAGGGGCAAAAAGCCAAATGGGATACTTGGGGGTGGGGAAGGAATCCTGACCCCTGCAGGTGACTGGCTTAAGCCCTGAAGCATGAGATTTTAGGAACATCAGACATTAGCCGGAAAGGACCCCCTGGGCTGCTGAGCCCTGCACCCTACCACCACACGCATCCCTGTCATACAATCACACTCGTATATTTGTCCGCCTCTCTCTCAAAACTAATTGAATTGTTTGCCCCCGCAATTCCTGTTGGGAGGCTGTTCCAGAACCGCTCCACTCTCATGGTTAGAAACCTTCTCTTAATTTCCAGCCTGGATTTGTTCCTGGCCAGTTTATCCCCATTTGTTCTTGTGCCCCATTGTCCATTAGCTTAAATAGCTCTTCACCCGCACTGGTGTTGGTCTTTGTTAATACACCAGAGGTGACCCTATCCGCTCTCAGTCTTTCTCAGCAGTTCTCAAACTGTAGGACCCCAAAGTGGGTCGTGACTCCATTTTAATGGGGTCGTCGGGGTTGTCATTAGACTTACTGGGGCCAAAGCCCTTGGGCTTCAACCCTAGGTGGCAAAGCTCAGGTTACAGGTCCCCTGCCTGGGGCTGAATCCCTTGGGCTTCGACTTTGGCTCTCCACCCAGGGCAGCGGGACTCTGGCAGGCTCAGGCTTCAGTCCCCCCTCCTGGGGTCATGTAATAATTTTTGTTGTCAGAAGGGGGTCGAGATGCAATGAAGTTTGAGAACCCCTGTGCTAGGCTAAAGGAGCCAACTTCCTCCAGTCTCCTGTCAGAAAGAAGAGCCAGATGGTGTTGGTTGTGTCAACAGCTGTATAGCTAACAGTGCTTTATTAGAACACAAGATGCTGGACACACTTAGTGAAAGAATAAATGGTGAATAAAAGTGTCTCAAACCAAAGCCCTGAATGTGCCTGTAGGTTTCCGCTGGTCCCTTGATTTGCTTTGTCAGCTCTGCACAAGAGGCTCTGGTCTTCAGCTGCTTACACAGCGTGCAATTTTGCTTACACAAGTGGTGCCATGGACTTTGGCCAGATTATCCATGTGTATAAGCATGTGCAGGACGGGGGCCTTTAGACATAATCTGCAAATGTGATGACCTAAGAAATACCAGCTGCCTCCCCATGGCTTCTTTCTCTTTGTTCTTCAGGTTTCTGACATGAACGTTCCTGGCTGAGCCTGTGGCACAGCCAGGAAGCTGGCCACACTCCTCGTTTGCATCTCAGCGAGCCTCATGGTGCACAAACTTCTGCACGTAACTGCAAGCTTCCCACATTCGCTCAGTCTGCTCTAGTTATCATCAGTCTGTTGTTGCTTGGGATGTTTGCCCTTGTGGGCAGTGGCGGTCTGGGGTCTGAGCATTACCTATCCCCCTTAGAGATGGTTCTCCGAGGACAGAGCTGTGGTGTGTGGGTTGGTGAGAGTGGGGAAGCTTGTGCTGCCCCTGTAATGTGGACTCCAGTCACCGAGGCTCTTTGCTGCTGGG